GTTGCCCCAAGGCTTTGGTTCTCTGGCGTGTGAGCATGGGAAGGACCAGGTAGTGATACGCCTTGGTTTTTCTTCTCCTCTTACCTCTCCAAGTTGGCTCAGGGAAAAGAGGAATTTGTTCAATTTCTTTTTTTTTAATCAGTAAACCCTGGACACAGGCACTTAAAGACAAGGCCTGGATGCTCTACTCAGCTGGAAGCTGGGGGCAAGTGGAGCTCAACCTCTCTGCCTTGCAGATAGGCCAGCGGGACCCCCAACCTCCTTGTCTCCACTCCCACCTCACACAGCTCCTCTCTCAAAAGGTCAGAGTGAAGCCAGCCCTCACTTTGAACTCCTAGGCAGCAGATGTCACCTTCCCCGGGATACCTGCATGTCTGAGCTGCATGGTGACTCTGCCCATACTTTCCTCCCAGTTCCCTAAAGGGGAGACCAGGCCTCACCTGTGCTTTCGATGTAGTAGTTCGTGATGCCCTTCCAGTGCTCCACGAACGCCTCCAGAAGGTCAATGGTGGGCTCCCACTGCAGAGAGAGCAGAGCATAACCTGTGTGATCACCGGCTCCACCACCACCAACACTCACAGGAACAGACATTCCACTGTCTATTAAGTGTTGGGTCAGTGCTAGGGTTTGGAAGGAGGTGGACTTGGAGAGAGGCACTGTGATCCTGGGTTCTCAAAAGGAATGGTAACATGTTTTCTCCAGGACACATATGAACTGTTGCCAACAATCTCCTAGCACCACTCCCCAGACCTCCTTCCCTGCTGGAAATGCTGTACTCCTGCCGCATGTCAGGATTCCACAGTCCCTGTCTCAGAGGAGCTAAGAATGTTGGTGGGGGAAACAGACACAGAAACACATCTTTTCAGTACAACATGGTTATGCTACAACAGAGGTACACAGAGGAAAACAGGAACGCACCCCCAAAACAAAAGCAAAATGACAAGGATGGAACACATGAGAAAGACAAAGTTTTCAGGTCCCTCTGAATCTGAGAGTCTGCAAAATGCTGTGTTCAAGGCCACAACAGGCTCGGTTCAGTCAGATGGGTAATATTAGCATTATATGGGTAATATTAGCATCATATTAGCATCACTTATAATGTGCATGCAGCTTTTGTCCAAGGCCGCAGGTTGTATAGCCCTAACTCTTCCTTAGCTAGCTCTGCTCCCATCCATGCCTCCTCCAGCTCCTTCTATTGGCCATGGGGGATTCTGACTCTGCTACAAGCAAGCCCTAAACCTCCCCCTTTCCAGCGCTCTCTCTATCTCCATGGCCTGGCTGGAACTGTAATAACACACACTTTCCCTGAAAACTTCCCCAAAAGGGCATTTCTTCCCTTTCCTTGCAGAGTAAAGGTTTGCAGGAGAAAAAGACATAATCAGGTAGTCCCTCTCCAAACAAAGGTGCTCATTTCTATTCTGGATCTTTGCTCAGGCCAATCCTCTGCCCAGGAGGCCCTGTACCCTCTACACTCAACCAGATCCTAAAAGTCCTCAGTCAGGTCCTGCTGAGGTCCAGCTCCACAAAGCCCTCTCTGGGTTCCTGGATGCATCACCCTCTAATCTCATGCTTTACTGTACCACAGAACTACATATCTCCTCCTTTAATCTATTCAGGAAGTATCTTCTGAGTGCCTGTAACATACACGACACCATGCTAGATGTCACAGGCAATACAAGGATGTCTAAAATCCAGTGCTACAAAGGAGACGAGAATATGAAATCACACTGATTAACTACAGGAAGCAGTGTGAGATGAAAACACAGGAGAGGTGGAGAGTGACCTCTGGGAAAAGAGGAGTCACTTCCAACAGGCTGGAACAGAGAAGGCTGAGGTCACACAGGAACTAAAACTTGAAGAACTGGGTCAGACTTCAGCAATCAAGAGATGAAGGAAAGTGTGTCTGGGGCAAGGATGGATTAATGAGGTTACAGAGCCTTGAATGCCAAGCAAGAAGTCTGGATATATATACATTTGCAGGCAATGGGGAGCAGGGCAGTGACATCTTCCAAGCAGTGCTTTAGGAAGAGTCACCTGGCGGTTGTGCGTTGGAAACAAAGGCAAGAAGAATGCTTTGAAGACCACTAAGGACAGGGGGAGGAAGCAGTAACACTGAAGCTGACGCCTTGACGCACTCCCCCTGCCTTGGCTGCCCAATCTTGTCTTCTTTCAAAATTAGTTATGGAGAGCACAGCCCTCACCAGAATGACATCTCCCGCAGTCGTTCCAAACACATCATGTATGATCACATCTTATCACGTTCTATGTGATACTATTATTGTTGGGTTAGCATTCTGGGGGTCAGGGTTCTGTGTTTCAGAACCTGTCTGCCCCTAAAGGGGCACACATATAGTGACTAGTCATTAATATTTACTAAATAGCTCAGCAAGCTCCTTAAGACACTGTTCCCTAGTTCCTTGTCTCTTGGAATGCCTTCTGACCCTTGACCAGCACTACAATTATTTCACAAGTCTGTGATGGGGGCTCAATGAACCTCAAAATTCATTTATAGTCTCTGAAAAACTGGCTCTGGCTTAAACAAACAAAATAAATAATAATAATAATAATGCAGTAAGAAAAATAGAAATAGGAGAATGCAGGTTAGCCAAAACAGACCATTAGAGAGAAAAAAGTGGGAGGATACTCTTTACCTGAGACTATTGTTAGCTGCTCTTACTCTAGACCAAAGAAACTGTACCAAATTTCTTTCTCAGGATAATGATTGCTATTCTCTTCTGTCAGAAGAGGGCAGGAAAGAGCAGCATGCTTCTTCCTTAACAAGGAGTCAAGCAACTTGCTGGGGTCTTAACCTGATGACCCAGGCCCGGGGAAGACCTATGTGCAAGATGTGGGGGTGCAGAGGAAAAGAGGGGTTCCCATCTCTCCCAATGACCACGATGGGCCAAACTTCTAGGGTATGGCCTGTAGGCTGTACACTGAGGGGCCTAAGAAAATCACCTGCCTAAAAGTATCTCCCTTGACCACCGATATTTCCTCCAGCCTCACACACTGAAATTCAGACACTGGAGGCATTAGAAATTCACTTCTTAGGGCTAAGGTCCTGTCCGTCTGCCCCCTTTGCATGCAGCTGTCCTTGAGAGGTATGAAGTAGTTTGTCAGATCACTTTCCAAGATGACAGCTGTCTTAGTTGGGGACAGGGAGGAGGGGAAGGACAGATGATATGGAACCCCTCCCCAGGTAGGATGGCCTGAGGCCCCTGGACATCGGGGGAGGGCAAAGCTGGGGGCAGGTGGGCAGACGAGGAAGGAGCAGAAGCTTGTCACTTTCTTCACAAGTTTGCTTAAGGCTGAGGCTGTTTTCATTCATAAGCAGCTCTGATTTGAGGATGGGGGGGGAGGAGTGTTGGGGAGGAAGGGAGTGGAACCCAAGGTTGTTTCTCCAGAGAAAATCTGATACACTACACTGATCAACTAGGAGAGGGTTTATGCTGATGCAAAAGAATTGTTAACTTTACCGACAAATTCTTGGCCAGGGTTACTTTTCGTACGGGGCCTCTGCCTTCCCTATCTAAACTACACTTTTACTGAATGAAGTGACCCTAGTGGGCCGCCTCTGACGAGCCTTCACCCCCAACAGAAAGTGGCAAAAACACAAACTGTGGGAATGGAAGAAATCAGTACAGTCTTCCCCACAGGGCTGCTGCCGCAGGCCCCGCCGGCTGGCCTCCCCGACTGCAGGCGCCGGCAGGTGTGCGACACACGCTGCAAACCTGCGAAAGGCTGCTTCCAGGTGCGGCGCGCCCCGCCCGCCCCNCCCAAGCCGAGCGTGAGGCCGCTGGGGGCCCGCGACAGGTCTGGGGCGGCAGCTGTTCCTCGGCGCTGGGGCCAGGAGGGAGGAGTGGGCGGGAGGAGGGCGAGCAGAGGCTGGAGGAGGGGACTCGGGATTTGGAGGAAGAAACGACAGGGCGACATGGAGCACGGGGGAGCTGGGAACTGGGAGAGGCTGCGAGCAGGAAAA